AGACAAATGAAAATAGACTAGAAAAACTAGTCTGCATTTTCTCCTGGACTCTCTCCAGGGAAAAGTAGCTGCATGAGGAAGATCAGCTACAGTGTGATAAGACCATCCCACAGAGGTGGTGCGGGAGAGAAAAAGATTTCCACAGCCACACGTCTGACGAAGTCCCCAAGGCAAAGGCAGTTTATTCACAATTTAGTCACAAACTTATGACAAAAAATCTGAATAATATACAAACTAGGAAAAATTTACTTGCCAAATAAATTAGTTAGCACTTCCTTCCCTACTAGTAATAGTAAAGTTCATCCGATTTTATTAAGTCCAAGGTTTCAAAGAATTACCCTGTGGTATTCAAAAAGAACAATTAATTATTAGATGCTAAGTAAGTTAGTAAGAAAATAAAAATATATAAGCTTGGCACCTGTGGCTCAAGTGGTTAAGGCGCCAGCCACATACATCTAAGGTGGCCGGTTTGAATCCAGCCTGGGCCTGCCAAACAACAATGACGGCTGCAACCAAAAAATGGCCAGGTGTTGTGGCAGGCGCCTGTGGTCCCAGCTACTTGGCTGAGGCAGGAGACTTGCTTGAGCCTAGGAGTTAGAGGTTGCTGTGAGCTGTGATGCCACAGCACTCCTCTCCCCAGAGGGACAGCTTGAGACTCTGTCTTAAAAAAAAAAGAAAAAGAAAAAGAAAAGAAAAATATAAGAGAAATATTTTTTAAAAGTAAAAGGGGTTACAATGGGCTAGGTGCTCGTAGCTCAGTGGTTATGACACTAGCCACATACACTGAGGCTGGCAGATTTGAACCTAGCCTGGGCCTGCTAAACAACAATGACAACTACAACAAAAAAATAGCTGGTCATTGTGGCGAGCACCTATAGTCCCAGCTACTTGGGAGGCTGAGGTGAGAGAATCCCCTTAAACCTAAGAGTTTGAGGTTGCTGTGAGCTGTAACACCACAGCACTCTACCAAGGGTAGCATAGTGAGACTCTGTCTCAAAAAAAAAAGTTATAATTAAAGTCTGAAAAATATTGGCTTTGTGATATGAATAAGAGATTGTCATTATTAATTATATATAAATAAAACCAAGAAAAAAATCTTCTTTTCCCTCACTCATAACCAACTGGAAAAAGCCTTCTAATTCAGGAATAAACTAAAACAGCTCTAATTACTCCAAACACATTTTCTATGTCAAGTTTTCTGTTTCAAATCCAAATCTTGCATGTTCCAGCTCTCAAAAAGGAAGAACCAACAAGGGAGGAGAAAAACTGCAGATATGGTGACAGAGATGCCCAAGAGGAAAAGCATTTAAGAAGGAAATGGTCAGCTGCCTTCTCTGGGACACACTGAAGGGCCAAGCTAAGAAGTGACCACCTGGAGAAATAAATGGAGGTCCTATGTTACCTTGACCAGTATTTTCAATGGAGTGGTAGGAAAGGAAGCTCAGAGTGGGTTAAGTGAGGTGCTGGTATGTGAGATGAGAAAAAACAAACAAACCCCCAAACTCAGCAAATTCCAGTAGGTATTTATTCTTGGGCTACTGATTTCCACAGATTTGAATAATGTGAGATATCTTTGCCATTATAAAAACAGAACCTAACCCTTCTTTGATAACTCAGAAGTCATCTTCCACTTCTAAACCAGAGCCTGTAAACTCTAGTTCACATTGAGAATTATTTGCAGTTTCTGATCAAGTGATGTTCAAGGGACAAAACAACTCACTATCCTGAAATCTTGGGTCTGTGTTACAGTTTCATAATAACAAGAGAGACTAACTGAGGCACCTGGGGCTCAAGGAGTAGAGTGCCAGCCTCATGTTCATACACTGGAGGTTACAGGTTCAAACCTAGCCCCGGCCAAAAACGGCAAAAAAAAACACTAACTGAAATTTCAATGAGAGACACAGAAATAACTTAGCTGCTCTAGCTTGCACCCACCATATTGAGATCTGACTCTGCCTCCAGAGAATGACATAAGCTTTGGAATGCTGACTACTAAGCTACTCCTTCCCATGGGGATCTGGTGTCGTCCTAATACCTGCTTTGCCTTACTGCCATTTCTAGATCCTCAACTGCTACCTAATATGAACCTACTGTACTTTTGACAAAATTTCTACCTCAGAGCCATCTGCAGTGGCATTCCAGTATAACTTAAATTGTGCAGTTAACACTGCATTTTGAAAATGTTATAAATGACAAACACACTGGACAAAAAGACTAATGATCCATTTTTAAAAGTTTATATTTACATATAGAATTCAGGTTGCAAAGCATTTAACATATATTATCTCACTTGATTTCCACAAATTAACGGAGGCTTAGAAAGGTAAGATGACTTACTCAAAGTCTCACAGCTACCAAGAACTTATAATATCTATTTCAGTATTTTTTTTTTTTTGAGACAGAGCCTCAACCTATTGCCCTAGGTGGAGGCCGTGGCATCACAGCTCACAGCAACCTCAAACTCCTGGGCTTAAAAGTGGTTCTCTTGCCTCAGCCTCCCAAGAAGCTGGGACTACAGGTGCTCGCTACAACGCCCAGCTATTTTTTCACTGTAGTTGTCACTGTTTGTCAGGGCTGGGCCAGATTCGAACCTGCCAGCTGTGTTGTATGTGGCTGGCGCCTTACATTTGAGTTACAGGCGCCACCTAGTTCAGTATTTTTCCATTCTGTAATTATTAATAAGCAAGACATTATTCTAAAACTACACATGTATATTAGAGATAAGGAGGCAATACAAAATATCTTACACATATGATAGAATATTTTAGAGATATAAAATGTTCTCAAAATATAAAAATATTAAAATAAAATATTTCAAGAGTATGCCTAGTTTTGTCAGTTCCTCTGTTTTCACCCTCAGTATCAGCTACCAATGTTTGCCATTATCAACAAATAGTGGTCCCTTTTTCTCCACTTTCTTTCTTTCTTTTTTTTACTATTGCCCTGGGTTGAGTGCCCTGGCATTATAGCTCACAGCAAGCTCCAACTCTTGGGCTCAAGCAAGCCTCTTGCCTCAGTTTTTCTATTTTTAGTAGAGATGGGTCTCGATTTTTGGTCTCGAACTCATGAGCTCCACCCATCTTAGCCTCCCAGAGAACTATGATTACAGGCGTGAGCCACCACGCCCGGCCTTTTTCTCCACTTCCTGAGTGGAACGACAGATGGAGTTACCAAGATGGTAAATACGAGTGTATGGGTAGAAAGATAAACTGCATCTTTGACTACTGAATTGGAGAGATGCCTCCTTTGGGCCAGCCAAGTGAAGCTCTCTAGAGAGCAATTGTACATATTGGTCTCAAGTTAGGCAGAGAGAGATGAATGGGAAAAAGCTTTTTGTGAGTTATTAGCAGTCAAACGGTGGCTGAAGCCACCATGATTTAGAGGAAGAGCATCATGAAAAACAAAGAAAGTGTAATGAATTCAAAACCAGAGTCAGAAACAACCCAGAAAACAGTAAAGAATATAGACAAAGAGGAAGCTAGAAAAGAGACTATGGAGCAGCCCTACAAAAATCCAGGGAGAGAATGTCAACAAGAAAATCAAGAATTTCTTATCAGATCATAATGAAGTGAGGGGTGACTAAAAACTGAAAATAGACACAACCAAAGTTCAGATCCAGAAAGTTTTGGTTGTTAATGAAGGCACAGGTGGGGAAGGGTGATGCTGTCAGGAGGAAAACGTAAGATTGAAGGAGAACGTTTTATCTTTGAAATGTGAGAAGAGCAACAGAGACAATGCTATTGCAGAAGAGTGACAGAAATGACAGACGATGAAGTCTAGAGTCGGTTACGAGAAGGGAGAGGAAGCCAGAGGGGAACCCCCTGCTCCTGAGCCATTCCTGGACTGGAGATGTGTGTACCTGGAACAAAATAAACAAGTATTTTTTTTTTTTTTTTGAGACAGAGTCTCACTTTGTCGCCCTCCGTAGAGTGCCATTGTATCATGGCTCACAACAACCTCAAACTCTTGGGCTCAGGCTATCCTCTTGCCCAGCCCCCCAAGAAGCTGGGACTACAGGTACCTGCCACAAACCCCAGCTATTTTTACAGATGGGGTCTCTCTCTGGCTCAGACTGGTTTTGAACCTCCGAGCTCTGGCAATCCATCCACCTTGGCCTCCCAGAGTGCTAGGATTACAGGTGTGAGCCACTGTGCCGAGCCTCAAACTAGCATTTTAAAAATGTATTGTTACAAATAATCTCGTGTACATGTGCTTATCTCTTCTGGCAAGAACCCTGTAAGAATTCCACTTTTATCAGGCAGTGCCTGTGGCTCAGTGAATAGGGCACCAGCCCCATATACCAAGGGTGGTAGGTTCAAATCCAACCCTGGCCAAACTGCAACAATAAACAGCCAGGCGTTGTGTCAGGTGCCGTAGTCCCAGCTTCTTGGGAGGCTGAAGGAAGAGAATCACCAAAGTCCAAGAGCTGGAGGTTGCTCTGAGGGCTTAGTGCCTATAGTTTAGCAGCTACGGTACCAGCCACATACAGCAGGGCTGGCGGGTTCGAACCTGGCCAAGGCCTGGTGAACAATGACAACTACAACAAAAATATAGCTGGGTGTTGTGGCAAGTGGCTGTAGTCCCAGCTACTTGGGAAGCTGAGGCAAGGGAATCGCTAAAGACCAAGAGTTTGAGGTTGCTGAGGGCCGTGATGCCTCAGCACTCTATGGAGGGTGACACAATAAAACTCTGTCTCAAAAAAAAAAAAAAAACATCCACCTAAGCCGTAGATAGACTGTAACATGATCCACAGCATAGAAGTATGCATTTTAACAAGCATTTAATTTGCCACTAATCTCTCAAACATACATAACAGCAAACAAATGAATTAAGGAGAAGAAACTCCATTTTCTGAGGGATAATAAACACATTCATTCAAAGAATGAATATATTCATCTATTCAATTGTTATAAAATATATATATCTTCTCTGGGAACAAAACTAAAAAAGTCATTATCTTTAAAAGTTGTTTGTTCAAATACAGTCAAATTTTTACTTACCTTGTTCAGCTGCAAATGCCTGACTAGTTGAAAGGATTTTTGTTTGTTCTGGATTATACCTCGTACCTTCTGGGAAAATCACAAGATACATCTGTGTGGCATAAAGAAAATTAGGTTTATTTTATGTGAGCTTTGTTGCTGCTGTTGTTAACAATGGTAACTATTATAATGGTAATTATAAGAGAATATTTCCTATGGTGGGAAAAAAAAATAAGGATATCCATTAACTTATGACCTTCATTTCCCATAGAGCTGCAAAAAAGAAAAAAATAAGAATAATAATTCATTAGACTCACTGCCCACAGCTCAGTGGTTAGGGCGCTGGCCACATACATTGGGGCTGGCAGGTTCAAACCCAGCCCAGGCCCGTTAAACAACAATGACAACTACAATGAAAAAATAGCTGGGCACTGTGGCAGGCACCTGTAGTCCCAGCTACTTGGGAGGCTGAGGCAAGAGAATCACTTAAGCCCAAGAGTTTGAGGTTGCTATGAGAGCTGTGATGCCATAGCACTCTACCAAGGGCAATGTAATGAGACTTTGTCTTTAAAAAAAAAAAATTATTAACTTATAACCTTTATTTCAAGCAGAATAACCAAAATTCAATTAAGTCTGGACATAATATGGACTATATTTAAAATTCAGTCTTACATTCACTGGTAGAACAGTCACTGAGAATCTAAAAACATTTCTAATTACATGCTAATAACTTACTAATTAAAAATTTGGCCATGACAGGCTGGCTCACATAAACCTTCAATTAATGAAAAACCCTTCTCCCTCAAGATCCTGTAAAATGACTAAATTTTATAAAGATGTACATTTTATTTATTTATTTATTTTGTAGTTTTTGGCCGGGGCTGGGTTTGAACCCGCCACCTCTGGCATATGGGGCCGGAGCCCCACTCCCTTGAGCCACAGGCGCTGCCCTAAGATATATGTTTTAGAAATCAGTACCTTTAAGTATCAACACTAAAAGTACATCTCATTTGAGGAAAATCATATAAGATATCTAAATTTCCAGCATGTAAAAGTGCTCACACTGCAAATGCTTCATACAGAATTCCCATATTAGAGAACCTCTTTAATGGCCTATAAATGACTTAATTTATAAGCCACCTCATATTTTTTACATGAAGGAACTTGAAATAATGTACTTATAAATAAATAAATGAGACTATGAAGCTAGATGTTTACTAAGTAACCAGTTAGTCTAAGCTTTTGTACTTATTTGCTTGGAAAAGTAAAAACAGAAATATTAAAATTATATAGCAACTTGAGAACTGAGTTACAAAAACTACACTAATAATTGTGTTTGACAGTCAAAAGACAAAAATAAGACATTTACACCAAATCTTTTCAAACACAAATACAATATAGAAGGTGTTCAGGGGGAAAAAGCTACATTCTTTTCATCCATTCTCACCAGATCCCAGACAATATTGTCTATCTATATACATCTGGCACAGAAGCATCTGATTATCCAGAGGACCTATGATTATAAGACTCCAATTTTTTTTTTTTTTTTTTTTGAGACAGAGCCTCAAGCTGTCCCCCTGGGTAGAGTGCCGTAGCATCCCGCTCACAGCAACCTCCAACTCCTGGGCTCAAGCGAGTCTCCTGCCTCTGCCTCCCAAGTAGCTGGGACCACAGGCGCCCGCCACAACGCCCGGCTATTTTTTGGTTGCAGCCGTCATTGTTGTTTGGCAGGTCCGGGCTGGGGATTCGAACCCGCCACCTTAAGTGTACGTGGCTGGCGCCTTAGCTGGTTGAGCTATAGGCGCCGAGCCATAAGACTCCAATTTAAGGAACCTATGTGACAGTCTGGATTTTTTTCATCAGACAAACTCTTTCCAAGTTTCATCTGAAATATTGGTACAATGATGGTATCTCTGAAAATTATGCATTTTCAGCTTTTTATTCATCTGTACAGTAGTCCTGAGAACCTGTTATCATATTTGATAATGAAGATTGATCAGATCTTGTTAGGAAAATGTAGAAAAATGGAGGTAAAATTAAGTAAAGAAATTCCTTACTATATTCCAGCAACTAAAAGAAAAAACAGGAAAGTATTAAAGTTAGTTCTCAAAACCACAAATCTATTTTCATGAAATATATTTTATAACAGTAAATTTATGCTGAGAGCCATGAAAGCAATTACTGTGGGCAATTAGCTTTTAGCACAATTATTTATAAATAAATTGATTCATTCAAAGATAAAACAAAGAGAAAATAAATGAATATAATGATTCATGATTTCCAATATTAATAATAACTCATATGGTGTTATTTTTAATTTTCTATTCTTAGATGTTTAATTTAAAAGACTTTTGAATGCCATGATGTACTGTATAATTTAAAATAAGAAAAAAAAAAGGTCAGCCAGAGAACAAAAATAAGGTATATTTGGGCCAGGTATAGAGGCTCATACCTGTAATCCCAGTTGAAAAGCCAACAAAGGATTTAGAATAGTATATAGACTTGGTTGATAAAGCAAAGGTGAGACTGAGAGGATTAACTTTAATTCTGAAGTAAGTTCTTTGGGTAAAATGTTATTAAACAATATCGAATGCTACAGAGAATCTTGTGAAAGGAAGAGCCAGCTGACACTACAAACTTCACTGTAGTCTTATTTAAAGAAATTGCCACGGGGCGGTGCCTGTGGCTCAAGCAGTAGAGTGCCGGGCCCATATACCGGAGATGGCAGGCTCAAACCCAGCCCCGGCCAAAAAAAAGAAATTGCCACAGCCACTCCCACCTTCAGTAACCACCACCCTGATCAGTTAGCACCATCAACAATGAGGCAAGAATGACTCTCAGTGGAAAGATTATATGACAAGCTGAAGATTCAGACGGTCATTAGTGTTTTTTTATGTACCTTGTCTTTGTAGATAGGATACTACCATATACTTAATAGTATTTGTGTAACATGTGGCCCCAGACAACTCTTATTCCTCCAAAAAAAAAAAAAAAAAAAAAAGATTGGACACCCCTGTGCTATAGTATGCTGTGAATCTAACTTTTATATGCACTGGTAAACCGAGAAATTCATGTCACTGGCTTTACCGTGGTATTTGTTTTATTGAAGTGGTCTGAGTGGTCTGGAATTAAATCCAGTTTCTTAATATTTTTAATAGTCCCAAATTGGGTAACATCAGATGACTACATGAACAAATTGTTATATATCCAGAACATGACATATTAATCAGCAGTAAAAAAACCCAAGCTATTCATACACATAATAATTTGGATGGAACTCAAAATAATTATGCTAAGTGGAAGAAGCTGGATCTACCCCAAAATAGTACAAACTGTACAATGCCACTTACATAAAATTGCAGAAAATACCATTTAATTTATATCAACAGAAAAGAGAGCAGCAATTGCCTTGAGATAGAATAGGTGCAAAGACATACAAAAAACTTTTGGACAAAATGAATATGTTCATTATCTTGACAGCAATGATGTTTTTAAGGATGTACACATGTATCAAAATTCATCAAACTATGCACTTTTACTGTATACAGTTAATTTATACATCAATTATACTTCAATAATGCCACAATAATATTTCAATTTATAAAAAGAATGATATTGAGACAGCAGACAGGAGATATATTATGTATAAAGGATATGATATAAGAAAGAGCCTGAGTTAGGGAAGGAACTAAGAAAACACTAGTGTCATGTAATGCAAAAATGAAAGAATGACATAAAACAGAATTAGACAAAACAAAAAGACAAGTCATGCAGTCTCTAGGTCTAAGGTGTAAGGGGAGAGTGAAGCATGAATGCCACAGGGTTGCTTTCTGTCCAGGATTTCCTCTTGGGGTAATGGAAATGATCTGGATTTAGATAATGATGATGGCTGCCCAACTCTGCAAATAAAATCCATCACTGCCTCTACTTTCCACAACTCAGCAAGCAGGAATCCAAATTTTAAAAGAGACTCATTATTAAACAGAATAAAAGTTACATTTCAAAAATAAGATACAATTTGGTGGGCATATAAAGAATAAACATCAAATAATGCTATTTTATGGCCATTTCTCCAGAGAGTCAGTGATATTCTACAGGAAATCGATTTTACAAAAACTATAACTGGACAGTACAGAACTGTGATAGCACAGCCTGAATACCTGGTTTCCAAACCCGCCTTGTTGGGTGGCACCTGTAGCTCAGTGGGTAGGGTGGCCACATACACCAAGGCTGGTGGGTTCAAACCCAGCCCGGGCCAGCTAAAACAACAGTGATAACTGCAACCAAAAAATAGCCAGGCACTGTGGTGGGTGCCTGCAGTCCCAACTATTTGGGAGGCTAAGGCAAGAGAATTGCTTAAGCCCAAGAGTTTGAGGTTGCTGTGAGCTGTGACACCACAGCATTCTAGCCAGGGTGAGAGCTTGAGACTCTGTCTCAAAAAATTAAGTAAAATAAAATAACCCAGCTGCTCCCCTGGCAGGACTTGGGTAAACTCTTATCTTCTTTGTGTCTCAAATTTCCTTGTCTAGAAAATAAAAATTTTAATGCTACCTATACTTCACAGAGCTACATGTATTGTGACGGTAAAAGGTAGTAATACATAAAATCTACTTAATATAGTACCTGGAGCAAAATTCTGCAATTTGCTATTGTTCCAATTAAAACATAGATCTGCTTTAGAAATCTAAGCTGACCTATTCATTGGAAGAAGACTAATGAGACATAAATCATTAATCACCTATCTTAATCTGGTGCTCTGCCTTCCCACAGTCAGTCTTGCATGTCACGATCTCAGGAACAAAGACTTCTAAAGGCAGTAAGACTTCTAAAGGCAGTAGTACTCTCAGTTCTCTCTCCTGTATGTTAGTCATGCATGGCAGACAGTACAAATGGAACATCAAGATTTTAAAATAAAACTTTTCTTTTCTTCTTCAAGTGTACTCATATGTTAACTTCTTTACTATTGTTTTCAAATTACTGACAAAAAAACAGCCATTTTTTTTACTTCCCACTAAAATGGAAAAGTTGGCTATAGAGGAGGGGAAAGATTAGAATATCAAGCTGGCTGCACTCCGGAAGGCTGAGGTGGGTGGACTGCCTGAGCTCAGGAGT